GCTGTTGGTGGAAGCTTGCTGGATTGGAACGTTTCCCCTGCACCCAAGGATGGAGCACCTGGACTTGCTCATCAGCTTTCCCAGGTGTAAGGTCAGGGAGGAGAGAAGGGTGCATCCTAAAGGCTTTCAACATTCAAACATCAAAACTGAAATCAGTATCTTTATTATAACTATTCCCTTTAATAACAAGGGGAGAAACTAAGCACATACAAAATTTCATCCAAATTTTTCATCACTAGACTCCGATGATACTGATTGCAAGAGATTCTGAAGAAGATGCACTGGAGAAATGAGGCTTAAGTTTTTCTATAAATGTATCAGTGATTCCATACAAGTATGACCAGTTATTCAAATTATAAAATGAAACCTCTCCCAACTCATAGTCCAGAAAAATGCCAATCTTTCACTCTCCTATAGGGGAAGGGCCAAAAGTATGAGTCCAGCATCCGTTGCTTGGGGATGGTGATATGAGAGTATTTCTGGGGAAAGATCATTTACACACACCTAAGTAATATTCACCTATGTCTCCCATGTTTACCACCCAAAAATGCCTGCCACAGCTGATCAGTGATTCTCTCTCATAATTGATGTTTCTCTCTCTCTCTCTCCCCCTCTCCCTTCCTCTCTGAAATCAATAAAAATATTAAAATAAATAAATAAATACATTTCTACTTATTTGTTCCCAGAAGTCAAAGTCCAGTGTGCCAGCATCAGGAAACCAAGGATTATAAATTATAACAGTCTGTAAAAGGCCCTTTATTTTATTATTATTTTTAAAAGAGATATTTTATTGATTTTTGCAGAGAGGAAGGGAGAGGGATAGAGAGTTAGAAACATCGATGAGAGAGAAACATCAATCAGCTGCCTCCAACACACGCCCTACTGGGGATGTGCCCGCAACCAAGGTACATGCCCTTGACTGGAATCAAACCCGGGACCCTTCAGTCCACAGGCCAACACTCTATCCACTGAGCCAAACCGGTTAGGGCTGCAACAGGCCCTTTAATTGTTCTTTTGTAACCGAGGCACCATTTGCTTTTAATAACTGTTTAAGTAACAAAGAAATCTATTACTCGGTGGACAGCTGCTGTCCTATTGTGAAACCTTAGCTGAAAAGCATACCCTCAAACTTGGAAATCCAAGGCTCCAATGACTTACTGTGCAGTAACTTTTTCTTACTCTTTATTTTTGAGGTTCCCACTGCATCTTGTTGCCTTCCTTGGACCTCACATGGGGCACCACTTTGCAGGGGCTGGCCAGCAGACCCTGAGTGACAGATGAATGATTACTCTGACACTGTGAAAGAGAGGGCTAAGGGACTGCCTGGCCAAAGGAACCAGACAGCCTCAATCACCTTCCTCTGCAGACTTTTTTTTTCTTTTCTTTTTTTGTAACAGTGGTATGAGCTAAAGTTTATCTTTGAGATGCAATCAGTAGGGTAAGTAATCTTGGGAGGACAGATATGTCTGCAGTGTCCCTAGAGGCCCCAGGCCTTTTGGAGATTCCTCCTTACAGACTTCCCAGCCAAGTCCAGTGATTCCCCACAGGAATCTACTGCAGGTGAGGGATGGGATGTGTAAGGGGGTGAAGGTTGGTGGTCTTCTGGGTCAAAAGTAGATTCGAAATCAGAAGTGTTTGGGGTATGATGTTTTGTGTGAAGGGGAAGAATCTGATGGGTAGAGCAGGACTAACAGAGAGAGGGTGGAGACTGGGGGGTGAAAAGGCCTAGACATAGGGAGTCTCTAACCATTTTCCATTGCAGTGACAGCAATTATCTAAATTGTGCAATGTGTTAAAATTCCAAGTGCTGTCTCACTGTTTTGATTTCCTTTTCCTTGATGACTAATGCTATCTAGCATTTTTCATATGCTCTTGACCATTTGCATAACTTCTTTGGCAAAATGTGTATGGGGATACTTTACCATATTTAGATTGATTTATTTCACTTTTAAGAATTCGGTTGTGCCCTAGCTGGTCTGGCTCAGTGGATAGAGTGTTGGCCTGTGGACTGAAGGGCCCCGGGTTTGATTCCAGAGAGGGCACATGCCCAGTACGGGGCATCCAGAATGATTCTCTCTCATCATTGATGTTTCTATCTCTCTCTCCCTCTCCTTTCCTCTCTGAAATCAATAAACATATAAATAAATAAAATAAAAGCTCTTGAGCAAAATATGTTACTTTAAAAAAAAGAATTGGGTTGCAAGAGGTCTTTAGATATTTTAGATACAAATTCTTTATCAGATATAAGATTTGCAAAATTTTCATCCACTCTGTGGATTGTGTTTTTACTCTATTTCCCTAAAAATTTTACTTCAATTGTGATAATATATGTGCCATACTGGCACAGCCAAGGGTGAACCTGAGTGGGGCAGCTGAAAGGCTTAGAAAAGATAGAAAAGAGAAAGAAAGCTGGGTCTCAGTGGGATACTGCTTCTCTGAGAGACAGCACCCATACCCATAAGCCATGTCTTTACTTTATAGCTGAGAGACAGCACCCATACCCATAAGCCATGTCTTTATAGCAGATTCCACAAGGCAAAGTAAGGGCATGATCAAGATGTTTACAACATTCTCATGGGTCTCGATCCTACTCAACTACATGCACCTGACCTACATCACTCAAGCAGGTGGGGCCACGGGTTCGGATCACAGGTTCAAGCTTGCAACTATAGCTGTTGGCTATAATTGTGGTGGGAGGCCTCTGGCCTCCAAGCTGGGACTTGCACGTGGAAATGAGAGGACTGTGCCCTCTCATCAGTCCACAGCTTGAACCTGTCCAAAACACTGTAGCCGCGCCCCAAAATATACACAGAGTAAAATGTACACTTTCACCGTTTTAGGTGTGTAGTCAGGAATGTAAAATGCACTGACAATGTGAAACTAATCTTCCGGATTGTTTTAATTTTACAAAATGAAACTGTTTACTTCTTAGATGACAATTCCTCCTTCTCCCTTTACCCCAGCCCCTGGCAACAAGCATTCTACTTTTGGTCTCAGTGAACTTGACTACTCTAGGTACCTCATACAAGTGTAATCACAGGGTGTCATCTTTTGAGACAGGCTGAACTCACTTAGCACAAGGTCCTCAGGGATCATCCGTGTTGCAGCATGTCAGGCTTGCTTTCTTTTCAAGCTGAATAATACTCCTGATGTGTGTATCCATTTTTTATGCATTCAACTGTTGATGAGTGGTTATTTACTTCTCCTTTTTGGCTGTTGTGAATAATGTTAATATGAACATGAGTGAACATGTATCTGTTTCAGTCTAGTCTGAGAAGTAGTTTGTAATTTTTAAGTAATTACTATGTTGCTTCTCATACCATGACAAAATACCATATCCCAGGAGTAGCACACCAGGTTTCAAAGAGTGTTGATGGTGTCCTTCCAACCATAACTCATTCATCTGATGAATTTGATTACCTGTTTCCCTCTCACTAAATGTTCCTTGAAAAGGGGGCAGCCTACGGACCTTGAACCACAGGCAGGTGACCTTGGAGAGCCAAGAAAACAGTGGAAGCTGTTGCAAGACCATGGGTGTGGCTCATCTGACTCTTCCTGCAAGTACAGGGGCTGTGGCTCCAACAAGGGGACAGGGCACCACCTCCTGCACCTGTGCACTTCAGGGAAGGGGGAAATCATAGCATTTTGAGCCCCTTAGTGAGGTGTGGTGCTGCACTGCATTCTGGGACACAAGTGAGGTGAGAGTGACGCTGGGGGTGCTGAGATGTCATTTGCCACAGGCCATGGAGATGAAATTCTGGAGCGTTATCCCACAGGAGTAGGCACCAGCTTTGGTGGGTGGGCTGCACACTGTGGAGGCAGATCCGAGGTGAGGAGGCCGGGTGTGGTCAGCATATGCACTTCTGAAAACACAGGGGAGAAGGTGCACAGGACTCAGGGAAGGCTCTTTAGGGACCAGTAGGCTCCTGGGGGTCTCCTAGAGGCTAGGAAAAGGCAGGGCATCCCCTTTGACATTGTTGGTGGAGGGAGACTGTTGTGAAATGTGCTTCCTGGCACAGGGGGGTGCTCATGGGACAGTGGGGTTATGGTTTCAGGGGCGTGTTCTTCATGACATGGGCTCTGGGTTCTGTCCCTGCTTCACCTCAGAGTCACCTGGGGCTACATTTTGCCAACACTGGTTGTCTTCTCAAACACTTAGGAAGAAGGAAACATGAACAGTAAACTAAAGGGACCACTTGTGCTTATTTTGAAGTTAGACTTGGCTATTTTCACCTAACTGATCCTATAGCAGGAAATTGACAAAGTGGGACAGGTGTTGCATCTAAACATGTTTCCCAGACAGCAGGCAGAGTTGGCTTCAGATGGCAAATGTAAGGATCGGAAAAGGCCTCAAGACCTGCCCTGGAAAGACATAAGGCTGATGCCCACGGATTAGATTAGGACAGTTCCAGGCTGACCTCACTTGTGCAGACCAGTTAGAGTCCCCGTTTCAGATCAAGATCATAGCATTTCCTGAATAGGACTCAAGAACCCTGGTGTCACCTCAAAGGTGGGGGCCAGGGGCCCTACCACTGTCTCTGAGTTGTGTGCATGAGGGCAGATGTTGCCCGAGAGGGTGTATCCTAAAGTCAAATTCAGTATCAAGAACGTCCTGTTCTCTGATACTGTTCCTAGGGCAATGGAAACTAAAGAAAAAATAAACAAATGGGACTACATCAAAATAAAAAGCTTTTGCACAGCAAAGGAAACCATCAACAAAACAACAAGAAGGCCCACTGCAAGGTAAAACATATTTGCCAACGATATCACTGATAAGGGTTTAATCTCCAACATTTACAGGGAACTCATGCAACTTAACAATAGGAAAATAAACAATCCAATCAAAAAATGGGCAACCGACCTAGATAGACACTTTTCTAAAGAGGACATACAGAAGGCCAAAAGACATATGAAAACATGCTCAAAGTCACTAATTATACAAGAGATGCAAATCAAAATGACAATTCGGTATAATCTGGGACGACGGGACAAGCATGGGTTTTGAGTTAGGGAGACCTGGTTAACTGTGCCATTACTTACTGTGGAGCCTTGGGTCAGTTGCTTAATTGTTCTGGACCCCTAGTATCTCATATTTAAAATGGGGATATTATATGCCTACTTCAAGTGCTGCTTATGGTCATTGACAAATGGGAAAGCACTTTGCACAGTATTTGGCATCTAGTGGGCACTTGATAAATATTTCCCTTCCTATCATGTTGGCTTTTAGCCAACATCACCTAGCCTTAGTGCCTAATGAGTGATGGCTCTGTTTAGCTAGCATGGCTCTGTTTAGCTCTATATTTCCATGGTGCCCTCAATCCCATGCTACTCTGAGATTGACCATAGGGGCCTCTCAGCACCACCTGGGTAAGGGGAGCCTACGATGTGGCCAGAAACAGTAGTAACATGGTCCCTGGACTAATCTCTTCCCAGGACGAGAAGCTCACTGTGACCCAGGACCTCCCTGTGAACGATGGAAAACCTCAGATCGTCCACTTCCAGTATGAGGTCACCGAGGTGAAGGTCTCTTCCTGGGATGCAGTCCTGTCCAGCCAGAGCCTGTTTATAGAAATCCCAGATGGAGTATTAGCTGATGGGAGCAAAGAAGGGTAAGGAGCAAGGGCTGGGGGAAAGGAAGGAGCAACTGGGGAAAGAGGTCCCATTCCAAAGAAAGGGATATGCTTATTAGAGCAGTAGGGAGTCTGCCTTCTTCCCTAGCTCTAGGCCTCCCAAGCAGATACCATTTTGAAACAGGTTATTTTTAGCCAGTAAAACAGGCCTGCTCTAGGTTATAATTAAAGCAGATCATTATCACATTAACCAAATCCCTGTCATTAATCACTCCATGGTTCACACTTCCCAGCAGACATTAAATCCTCCTTGAGCCACCATATAGTGGTGCAGTTCAAAAGGCCAGGAACCTCAGAGAGCCGATGGGCTTTCATTGTATGGGCGAGGCCCTCCACGCAAGTCAAGTGTGTGAGAAACAGTCCTGAGGACAGAGTTCTCTTGAGGAACTCCTTTTTGGCAGTGTTAGGGCTCAAGAGTCCCTCTCAGTGGCAGGTAGTCATTATCAAACTTGGCAACTTTGGAAGGCCCCTGAAAAACTGGGTTCTCTTCCCAGGCCCCACACTGTCTTGTGAATTGTATTAGTTAAGTTGGTCAGAGGAAGAACCCCTATTCCAGGAAGAGATAATCCAGTAACATTTTTCTTTTTCTAAAAAATTAATCCTTACCCGAGGATATTTTTTCCATTGAGTTTTAGAGAGAGTGGAAGGAAGGGGGAAAGACAGAGAAACACCAATGTGAGAGAGACATATCGATTGGTTGCCTCCTGCAACGTGCCTCAGTTGGGGCTGGGGATTGAGCCTGCAACCGAGGTACGTGCACTTGACGAGAATCGAACCCAGGACTCTTCAGTTCAAGAGCTGATGCTCTAACTACTGAGCCAAACCGGCTAGGGCTCCAAAAACATTTTCCTTAAAGATTGTAGCTTATTTTTTCTGAATTCAGAGCTCTTGGGGTCTTGAAATAGGAACTTTCTCCCTGAAGTTTCTCTATACTGTGGCTGTAAGCCTCAAAAAGCCTTTTTTGTGAGTAGTGGGTGGGAAGTCTAGAGAGGTGGTAGTGGGCCTGACTTCTTTCCTTCTTGCAGATTGTTAGCACTGCTGGAGTTTGCGGAAGAGAAGATGAAAGTGAACTACGTCTTCGTCTGCTTCAGGAAGGGCCGGGAAGACAGAGGTGAGGGGTTAAAGCAGCCTGAGTCCTACTTCCCAGAAAATGGGGTCTAGGGAGGGGGAGGGGGTTCCTATACAGTGAGGTGGGGCCCTTGAGTTTGCTACATAAACTTGGGCAGTCATGGAGGCTAGTGCCCAAAGGGTCTTTTAGTCAAGGACTAGTGCTTATTCATTCCATTTTTGTTTGGGGTTTTTCCTTCATTTGACCCTACCTTTGTGTTTCTTATTAAAATCCTTTTTACACTCTTATCTTTTGCAGCTCCACTCCTGAAGACCTTCAGCTTCTTGGGCTTTGAGATTGTACGTCCAGGCCATCCCTGTGTACCCTCTCGGCCAGATGTGATGTTCATGGTTTACCCGCTGGACCAGAACTTGTCCCATGAGCACTAACGGTCAGAGGATGCTTTGCCCAAGAGCCACAGTGGGGACAGAGGGGGTTAGACAGCCCTGGGACAGAGGAGGGGGCTCCTCGCTGACTAGGGAAGGACGCTGAGGGGCTCAGGGTGAGGGCTGCCTATTGTATTCTTGGTGTTGACTCGTGGAAATTGTTTTCCATAAAGAACAGTATAAACATATTATTCACATGTGACCACCAGTAGTAAATGAAGATGTTTATGAAGTGGCCTTTGAAGCTTTCTAAACTGCGCTGTGTGATGTGCTCTATCTAGCCTACGGGAAGGACATTGCCTAGAGGGGGAGGGACTATCTGGGTCTGGGCCAAGACCTGGAGGGGTGGTGAGTAGTACTGTCAGCCTCAGGCCCCCCAGCCATTGGGCTTTCTCTTTGGTTTTTAAGACTTGTTTATTTCCTTTCCTTGCTTCCTGTCACCACAGGAGCTCCTGAGTATAGGCTTTGCAGCCCCATTGGCAGCAGTATTGTTTTTTGACGCTCCACCTGGGCTTCTGTGTGCATTTGTGTACGGCCTGGAGAAAGCAGGCCTGACCCCCTTTTACAGCTTAGTGTTATTCTGGCATTTGGTTAAACTGGCTTCATCTGTGAAATGTTATCAGTGCATTTTGCAGAGGGACATAAAAAAAGAACGTCCCGTTGTGGGAGGCAGGCGCTTGCCCAGGCTGGAGGAGGGCTGTGAGTCCGCGGGCTGACAGGGTCTTAACCCACAAAGATTGGCCCCGCGCGCGCGACCCCAAACCCACCCACTCCCTGCTCTGCCCCCTCCCACCCTGAGCAGAGTCGCCGAGGATGATAAGCACCCAGGACAGTAGCATTTTGCCCCCGAGTAACTGCCCCCAGCTCCAGTGCTGCAGGCACATTGTTCCAGGACCTCTGTGGTGCTCCTGGTGCCCGTCACCCACTGAGGAAGATCCCCGAGGGGCGAGGGGCGGCAGGGATCCTTCTCTCTCAGCTCTAATAACTAAGGACCAGAAGCTCACTGTGACCAGGACCTCCCCGTGAACGATGGACAACCTCACATCGTCCACTTCCAGTACGAGGTCACCGAGGGGAAGGTCTCTCCCTGGGATGCAGTCCTGTGCAGCCAGAGCCTGTTTATAAAAATCCCAGGTGGAGTATTAGCTGATGGAAGCAAAGACGGGTTGTCAGCACTGCTGGAGTTTGCAGAAGAGAAGATGAAATTGCACTATGTCTCCATCTGCATCAGGAAAGGCTGGGAAGACTGAGCTCCACTCCTGAAGATCTTCAGCTTCTTGGGCTTTGAGGTTGTAGACCAGGCCATTCCCTGTGTACCCTCTCAGCCAGATGTGATGTTCATGGTTTACCCGCTGGACCAGAACTTGTCCCATGAGCACTAACGGTCAGAGGATGCTTTGCCCAAGAGCCACAGTGGGGACAGAGGGGGTTAGGCAGCCCTGGGACAGAGGAGGGGGCTCCTCGCTGACTAGGGAAGGACGCTGAGGGGCTCAGGGTGAGGGCTGCCTATTGTATTCTTGGTGTTGACTCGTGGAAATTGTTTTCCATAAAGAACAGTATAAACATATTATTCACATGTGACCACCAGTAGTAAATGAAGATGTTTATGAAGTGGCCTTTGAAGCTTTCTAAACTGCGCTGTGTGATGTGCTCTATCTAGCCTACGGGAAGGACATTGCCTAGAGGGGGAGGGACTATCTGGGTCTGGGCCAAGACCTGGAGGGGTGGTGAGTAGTACTGTCAGCCTCAGGCCCCCCAGC